GTGTTATAGCAACTTTGCAATTCTGCAGCTTAAATCTCTTCAGAAGTTCTAGTTCGTACTTTAACGGATGCAGAATGATACCCTTCTTCGAGTACAGAATCTCCATCCCTAGGAAATATGTCATTTTTCCTAGATCTGTCATCTCGAACTCATTCATCAGAACTTCTTTATATCTTTTGGGAAGTTACCTATTAGCAAAATGTCATCAACATAGAGACACACCAGAATCATATTATTATCAAAGTGTTGTACATAAACTCCATATTCCATCTCACATTTCTGAAACCTCTGCTTCTTGAAAAAATGAATAAATTTTTAGATTCCAAGCTCTAGGCGCTTGCTTCAGTCCATACAGAGCTTTATTCAACCTGTATACCATCCCTTCTTGATTCTTTTCATAAATCCAGGAGGTTGTGACACATAAACTTCTTCCTGTAATGGACCGTTCAGAAATGCAGACTTCACATCTAGATGCATTAAAGGCCAATTTTTATTTGCAGCTAAAACAATCACTTGTCTGGTTGTTTCATGCCTAGCTACAAGCGCAAACACCTTAAAGTAATCTAGCCCAGGTTTCTGAAGAAAACCTCTAGCTACTAGTCTAGCTTTGTGCTTGCTAATTGAACCATCTGGCTTATGTTTCAACTTAAAAACCCATCTGACGCTTATGGCTTTTTTCTTATCTGGAAGTTTAGTCAATTTCCAAGTTTTGTTCCTTTCTATTGCCTCAAGTTCTTCTTTCATGGAATTAAGCCATTATTTCTTCTTGAGAGCTTCTTCAATGCCCACTGGTTCAGAATCTACTAACATGGCACACTGAACGACTTCTCCTTCAGAGTCAACTTCATTATCCTACAACATGTCAAAATCTGCAAACCTTCTTGGTTTTTGTCTTATTCTATGTGGTCTTTGAGCTTGTTTTGAAGCTGCACCAGAACTACTACTTTCAGAGTTACCACCTTTAGAGTTTTCCCTTCCAGAACTATGATCACCACCAGATTCTGGATCATCATCAGCATCTGGATTAAAATCAGATCCATTGCCAGAATCTTCTTCTGACTCATCTTCAGAATTTTCAGGATCTTCAGAATCAGGTTCATCTTCTGAACTTTCTAAAACATCTTCAGAGACTAACTCTAGTGTTGGCACTACACCAGAATCTGATTGAGATTTGTTCCAATCCCATGCTTCATACTTTTTCACCACAACGTCTATGTTGAATTCAACTTTATTAGTTTCTGGACAATAAAGCTTATACACACTTGTACTGTGGTACCCCATCAGCAACATTACTTTACTTCTATCATCCAGTTTTTGTCTTCTAGCTTCTGGAACGTGTTTGTAACAGACAGAGCCAAACACCTTCAGATGACTGATATTCTGCTTATCTCCAGTCCATTTCTCTAAAGGAACAACTTCCTTCAGTTTCTTCGTTGGACACCTATTCAGAATATATGATGATGTGGCAACAACTTCTCCCCATAGCATGTAAGGTAGCTTTTTTTCTTTCAGCATGCTTCTGGTCATATCAAGCAAAGTTTTTTTTCGTCTTTCAGCAAGACCGTTGTGCTGAGGCATATATGGAGTTGTAACCTCATGTTCTATTCCACTCTCCTCACAAAACTTCTGAAACACTGTAGTGTTATACTCACCCCCACCATCCGTTCTCAGAATTTTTAACTTCTGACCACTCTGCTTTTCAACCTTCACTTTGAATTTATGGAATTCAATAAGCACTTCATGCTTGAACTTGATGAGTGTTACCCATGTCATTCTTGTGAACTCATCTACAAAAGACATAAAATAATTGTTTCCTCCAAGTAAAGGTACTGGAAATGGTCCACACACATCAGAATGTACTACTCCTAGAGCATGCTTCGCTCTGAGGGCTACTTCTGATGTAAATGGCAATCTAGGTTGTTTGCCTTTCATGCATATCTCACATGACTTCTCAGGATTCACAATCTTTAAAATACCATGTATAAGTTTCTTAGAACATAGATGCCCCAAGCTTCTATAGTTTAAATGCCCCAACCTCTTATGCCACAGCTTACTGTTACCTTCAGCGCCTTCTGCACTAAGACACGTTGCTTCAGCTATTTCTACATTTACCTTGAATATTCTGTTGCCTCCTTGTTCAGACTTCATAATCAACTTCTGATTGGAATCATACAACGTAAGAAGATTGTTTCTCATAACAACTGAGAAACCTTTCTCAATCAGCTGACCTACGCTCATCAGATTGCTTCTAATACCAGGAACATACCAAACGTATTTGATTGGAATTTCTTTCCCATTTTTCACTCTAACTCAGACATCTCCCATACCTTCTGCGTTAAGATACTTATCTTCAACACATCTGTTCTTTGTTCTCCTTCTAGAGTCAAAGTCTGTCAACCATTGTTTGTTTCCAGTTAAATGATTTGAACAACCAGTGTCCATATACCACCAATCTTCTAAGCATTTTCCATCAGAATCATAAGCCATTAGTAGTACAGGTTCATCATCAGAGTTTCTCTTAGCCATATATGCTTCTTTTGATTTCCTTTCCTTGTTGACCTACAATCTCTGGCAAAATAGCCAAATTATTTACAAGAGTAACATTGAACCTTACTTTTGTCATACCTCTCCTTTCCTTTATGATATTTCTTATCATCAGAAGTTAAGGCTTCTAACTTCTGGAATCTATCACCACGTTTATTCTGTTTCTGGTCTTTCTTGACAAAAGAAGTCTTCAGAGCTTGCTCAGCTTCCCTCTCAGAAGTTCTCTCAGACAGATGTAACTCCTATGCTTCTAAGCTGCTTTGCAATTCTTCTATTCTCATGGTTTCCATATCTTTAGAATGTTCAATAGAAACAACAATGTAATCAAACTGAGGAGTAAGCGACCTCAGAATCTTCTCTATGATTACCTGTTCAGACAGAGTTTCTTCACACGCATTCATCTCGTTAGTGATCAGAATCACTCTGGAGATATATTCAGAAACTTTCTCACTACTCTTCATGTTCAGGTTCTCATATTGCTTCCATAGGGATTGAAGCTTCACCTTCTTTACTGATGCGTCACCACCGTAACATCTCACCAGTAAATCCCACGTCCCTTTTGACGTTGTTGAATCAGCAATCTTCTCGAACACACTTTCATCCACACACTGATGGATATAGAACAGTGCTTTCTGGTCCCTCTTCCTCATCATCCTCTCAGCAGTTCTCTGTTCTTCAGTTGCATCTGCTGCAGCTGGTACATAACCATTTGTAATCAGATCCAGAACATCTTGCGCACCAAATAACACACGCATTTGTATCATCCATTTGTTCTAGTTTTGCCATTAAAAACTGGAAGTTTGGTGTTCAAACTACTGTCTCCACTCATTTTAAACCTTGCACGGATTTTTCAGATCTTCAAACACACTGTTTCCCAACCCACAAAATCAGATTCTGTTTAAATTTTTTGTTCAAGATTTCAAAAAAAAACAATGAACCAAAATCTAACACACGGCTCACAATCACTCGTGTTTCCCAGGAAAACAGAACCAAGTGCTCTTGATACCAATTTATTGGTGCAAGGTAATGAAAGGGGAGAAGAAGAATGAATGATAATAAAGAGGGCTACTATTGTATATCAAATAGAGGAATGAATGAGTTACAATATTGATAGCCTATGTAGCATATTTATACTAAAAATTGAAAATGCCAAAAGACCCTATTAAAGAATAAGCATTGGAAATTATAAACATTAACTAAATTATATTTCCAATAATAATGACATTTTTGGATAATGTGCTTAATTATTATACAGAGGAGTCTTATATTGATTTCATCGTGGAATTGAGAAGTGTGTGCATGAAATTCCTAAAATTTTAAAATATGTTAAAACTAAAATATTAAATCCGGTGAAAGAGAAAATATACATGTTTGAATTGATCAAGTTAGACATCTTAAAAATATTATGATAAACAAAGTTGAACTTGGTCATGGTAGATTATAAAGATATTTATTAGATAGCAATATTGATTTTTTGCAAGGGTGGGAAAGCAATTAATAATATGATCATATTACAACACAATGAGATGCACACCTCTTTTGGAAAAGTATCACTGTATTAGAACATAAGATTTGTACTCTCAGTTGTTTGAAAATATTTCTCGTGTAAGATTGACTTTTATTTATTTCGAAGTTGTGCAAGCAAAGAAATTTGTTTCAATAGCTCCAACTATGATTGTCCAAATATAAAAACATATAACCTTCCATGTGATTGTATTATCACCAAGAAGATTCATCTCAACACACTTATACTTATGTTACTACAAAGAAGGTTAAACCAACTCCTAATAATAATTCAACGAAGCAATCGCCATCATTCTATGAGAATGTCGACCCAATTCACCAGACACTTATTTTTATGATAGTAATTATGGATTTCACTCTATTTGAGCTTTAATTGGCGAGGATGAAACGAATGAGATTCTTGTGTGCCTCGTAACAACAAAAAAAAGTTTGTGAGAATTCATATTTGCTCAATAGATTCACAACGCTTTTATATTTTTCTACAATAAAAAATCTCATATTTGACATAATCATTCATTTATCTTGAAGTGTTAGAGAGACTCTTTTCCAAATCAAAGTGTACTTAACCTAATTGAATAAACTCTCTGATGTTTTTGTTAATTCCAAAAAGTTTTTGGGAGATTTAAAAGGTGGAAATAGAAATTCTCACAAAAATTTCCCCATGATAATTTTGGGCTGATAATTTTGTTTTTTCTTTTTTAATTACACCCCCTGATTTATAATTGGAAAGAGAAAAACAGTTTTTCTTGAATTCGTACAAAGCAAAAAAAGACACTATTCACAAATGATAACTTTATCTCATTCTCCACCATACATCTCACACCATTCATCCCTTGTCTAATTTCCAACCAAACCAATATTTCTTTATCTTTCAACATATGAAGAAAAAAACATGTACCACATTCATCAATAAATAAACAAAAACAACCAAAATGTTAGCCTCAGCTAGCTTAGGTTGTAGAAGACCAACATGTTGCAATGTTCATCAACAAACAAGAAACGGTTTCATGGCTAAAACACAGAACAACAATGAGATATTGATGATGGTGGATTGGAGAGGAAAACAATGTAACAGTAAGAAAAGTAATAGGGTAGTGAAATGCAGTGGTGGAGTTGGGTTAGGAGATTTCATTGGAGGAGATTTGGTTAAACTTGATATTGGACGTTGGCTTTCTGATGTTGAAGAACATAAAGCACTTGCAATATATACTCCTCATGAAGGTGGATATGAAGGACGTTACTTGTCACGTCTTCAACGTCAAGGTTACTATTTTCTTGACCTTACAGCTCGTGGTCTAGGTGATCCTGAAACCACTCTCACCAAGATTCATCCTGTTTGTCCTGTAAGTTTTTTCCTTCTTTGTAGCTTTAAAAACTTCTTCATTGCTTCTGCATGATTGATGGCTATGTAGCAATGTACGTAGCACCATTATACGTGTCCGATGTGCCATGAGAGAATAAATAGATGTTCTATTTACGTGACAGACATTTTATGAAGCCTTATTTAACTAGGTTTAATCGTGACAAATTTTGAGTCATGTGCGGTAGTCTGTCATGTCCTCAAAGAAGATGCTAATATATATATCACCAACACGGAACTAACATACTATAACTTCCAAATCACTATTGTTGTATATGTATGTATCGTGTTAGATGTTTTAGTTACGGGGATTCATAGATATGGTTTTGTCATGAATTTCAGGCTCATTTAGGAAAGCAACCGATAGCAAGGTGGTATTTTCCGCCGGAAGTTGATTACAGATTGGAAGCATTACCACCAAATGCCAAAGGATTGGTGGTGTGGATCATTGAAGCCAAGGTGCGGATTATGCCATTACTTTTATGACATTAGATTCGAAAAATTGTACTGGTGTAATTGTTGTTTTGGATTTTCTTTAGGTTCTCTCCAAGGCAGAATTGCAGTTCCTTGCTCTGCTGCCTACACTAAGGCCTAATGTGAGGGTCATTGCTGAATGTGGAAATTGGTAGGGTGATAAATTTTCTATATAATAACATGTTTCTGTTTCTTAATATTTGAAGTACTTTTTGATGAAAAGTTTATCCAAAATGACTTTTGATGTTGTTAGATAAGATATCATTGTGGTGTTTGTGTGAATGATCAGGAGAAAGTTTATGTGGAAGCCACTAAGTGAAATTGCTGGACTAACCACTAGTCAAGAAGCTTGATAATGATGCATTGCTGCTTATTTAATGCTGCTTTTCCAACCATCAACAACAAAGTAGAAACATTTCCATCTGTCTTCACTCTTCAAGCTTGAAGATATAAGGATTAAGGAAGTTCATTGTAAATAGTTACATCTCTCACAACCATGAGTGATATATATATATATGTACATTCTCATGGTTTAATTTTGTTATGGCATGCACAAACATTTTAAGCAAAGATGATATTAAGGAAATAATGCTATGTAACCGATTTTTAATGTAACATATCTAGATGAGACAAAAAAAAAGAGTACAGTATGTTCATGCTTATATAGATTAAAAAGATAATTGCTTCTTCCTTATTACATTAAAAAGATAATTGCTTCTTTATTTTTATTCTAAACAGTATGATTTCTTCCTTAAATGCAATTGTTCGGCTCTGTATGACTTCCTCTAAACAGTATGATTTTTCGGCACATGTACGTAACTAATACATACATAAATAAATTTTTCTACTAGTAATAGAATCTTACTATCCATGCTACGATTTTTGAGTTAAAGTTTTTTATTCCCCCATCGATTCTGCATAGACTCTTGAGTTTTTAAACACTTGTTACAACTCGCGATTCTACCATAAAAATAGGAAACAAACTTCATCAAATCAAATAACAAATTATCCTAAAAACTAGGACTTTTATTAGACCGTCGTTCTCTCCCTTAAACTAAACTGCATTTGCAACTAGTTAATGTTTGACATCTCACAAACTCCCAACTTCCTTCTTATTTCTCGAAAACACTCCAATTTTAGTGGCTTGCTGAGGATGTCTTCCACTTATTTTGTACCACAAAACAGGATTTTCTCAACTTTTTCATTTACAAGCTCAAGTAAGGTGTGGTAACGCACATCAATATACTATGTTTGTCGAAAGAAAGTTGTTGTTGAAGTAGGTTGTTCGATAGAAATCATTGTTCAATCGAAGAGTTTGTGGATCGAAGCAGATTACACACAGATTTAATTTGGTTTTTGATTTAAATTAGATATATTTGATTTAGTTTCAAAATAGGTATTTTGGGTGTTCATAGTTTTAGACTTTGACTTATGAACATGCTAACCTAAATCTATAAAATAGAGGGAGTAACTCCTATTTTTGTAATCATGTCAATTAAGTTGTATTAACAAAATTTGTAATTGCAAGTGAATAAAGAAGTTTTCCACAGTTTGTGGCAAAGAGAAACTCTGCAGAAAAATAATTGTCTTCTCTTTCTTTCATATAATTCATTGTCATTGTGTGGTGATAACAATCCTGTTCATCAAGATTGATAGAAATTCATCATAGGTTTTGGTAGATTTCCAACATCTGGTATCAAGAGCTCCGGTTGAGTGATTCAAGGGAAGAACAATCAAGAACGATTGAGGAAGAAGAAGAAGAAGTTCACGATGACGATTAAGTACTCTAACAGAAATTTTCCAGCAAGTCTCCCATTTCTTAAAGGTGATAACTATGAGAATTAGTGCAAACAGATGAAGGATATATTTTATTTTCAAGGTCTTTAGGATCTTCTGAAACATAAATTAGAACAGCTTGATGAAGACGCTTCAGAAGAAGAAGAAGTTGCATATAAAGAATCAAAGAAGAAGAATTATAAAGCTCTCTTTGTAATTCACTAATGTGTCAGTCCAGACAATTTTGAAAAGGTTAGTGATGTTGAATCTGCAAAAGAAGCTTGGGAGATTCTGAAGAAATCGTTTGGAGGCACTGAGAAGGTGAAAGAGGTGAGGTTACAAACTCACAAAAGAACGTATGAATTACTTCAGATGGAAGATAGCGAGAGCATTTCTGATTTTTTTTCACTAGGGTTATGAAACTAGTGAATCAAATCAAGACTTGTGGAGAGACGTTAACAACAAGAGTTGTTGTTTCGAAGATCTTAAGATCTTTGGCTCCAAAGTTTGACCATGTGGTAGTTGCCACAGAAGAGTCAAAGGACATGTCATCTTTGTCGAAGGAAGAGCTTCAAGGGACGCTTGAATCTCACGAACAAAGAATGACTGAAAGAGCTGCATGTAAGTCGAAGAGTGATGTGTATCATACCCCAAATTTGACCCACCAGATAATCATTTTATGTAACTATTTTTTTCAAATCTTTAAATCATGTGGTTCAAATTGTCCGCTTTGGATATTATAAATTGAGGGTTTAAATAATAATAATAAAGGGGTGTATTTTTAATCATTTAGTCCATTAAAATATTTTGTTCTTAAAACTCATTTTTGAATTAAGAGAATTAAAATAAAGGGATGGTGTTTTGGACCATCAAAATCTGATGGCCCATAAAGGGGGTCATGTGCTTTAACAAGAGGGATGTGTTTTTTTAGTTGGGCTAGAAACTTTGTTAAAAAAATCGGGTCATCTTTTTGAAAAGACCATTTTCTTTTTTGGGACAGAGGCCCACTTGTGTTTTATATAGCTTTGTTGTATTTATTTCTAATAATTATTATTTTAACTTCCTTATTATTATACATTTATTTAGGATTGACTAAAGTAAACATTAGGGTTTTAAACCGTTTGTTCAGTTGCGCCCTGATCAATTCTTGATCCCTAAACAATTATGTACAAGCCCATAAATTAAAAGAAACACATATAAGATCAAAGACCAAATCAGATCTTCAGAAAACTCAAATGAAACTCAAAATAAAATTCCAGTAATTTACACAGAATAAAATCAAATCAAATCTCATTACAATCAAGTTGCATATAAATCCGCAGTAGAACCTCAATCTAATCTCTAATTTCTAAAACTAAAACAAATATACAAAAATCAGATCAAACCATATCCCTAATGGATTCAATCACTAAATGTAACGACAATTACAGAATAATTTCCTAATCTGTTTAAATTTCTATCCAATAAATAAAACCTAAAACTAATTAAAAAAAAATTAAATTAGAGGAACAGAAAGTTGTATTAAGGAGAAGAAGCAGAAGCTGTGAGCTTACGCCAAAACATCCAAACCCTTCACTTGAGATATGGGTTTCAATTTCTGAAACCCTAGACATGTGCTTCAAGTTGTGTCTCCATCCTCTCTGTCGTTGCCGCTACACTTTTCATCTGTAATAAAAAAAGAAAGAATTAGAAGACAAGATCGGAGAAATCAGAAGATGAGTCACACTAAAAGAGTCACTACAGGAGAGGTAAACACGATTAAAATTATATTAGGGTTTTGATTTTGTTGTTATGGTTGTTGTTCTATGGTTGATTTGGGGTTTTACGAAAACTTAGGGTTAGGTTTAGGTTTGCTTAGGTTTAGGGTTAGGGTTCTTGGAATCATGGTTAGGGTTTTTGGTATCTAGGTTTATGGTTCATCTAGAAAAACGGTTCTAGGTTGAAGATTGTTAGGGTTCATATAAGAACCCTAGGGTTAGGGTTTGAATTCATAGGGTCATGGTGGTTTCTAGGTTTGGGGTTTGAATGAAGGTGGTGGTGCCAGATGTAGATGTCGGTGGAAGCGATTTACGGCCAGCGGCGCTCTAGACGGGGAGATTTCCGGTATGGTGGATTTCTAGAGAAATGTCAGAGCCTCTCTCTAAAAATATAGAAGAAGTTGTTTGTTGGGGAGTATAGAGAGATAGAGAGAGAGAGAGAGAGAGAGAGAGAGAGAGAGAGAGAGAGAGAGAGAGAGAAGAGAAAATAGGGCCCAGTGTTGGGCCTGAGCTTTTATAAAACCCTCATTGATTCCGTGCTTGCGTTTCCATGATCCTTACCGTGTATTTTCCATCACCAATGCTTGATCTCCATCACACGATATCAACACACGTTCCCATCGTAACACGTTGCACCTTCCTACAAATTGGCCAACGGATCCAGCATTTGTCTTGGGCCAAGCTCAACGCTCCCTACACCCTCTGTTTACTTCGCCTTGAATAATCCACACCCCCTAGCACTATTGGGCCCAATTCAATATCTGAACTCGGGCCCTTGCTGAGCGTACCCCCATTTTTACTTCCATGTTCAATAGCACACCTTCCTCCTTCGTTTTGGCCTGAATCTAATATCTGGATTCAAGGTCCTATTTTCTGCACCCCGATTTTACTACGCCAACATAAAATACACCCCCTGACTCTTTAATTGGAATTTTATTTTCCTTATATTCTATTTCTTATTATTTATATTTATAATTAACTCTTTTTTTTTTATATTTAATATATTTATATAAATCCCAAAATTTTTTTTTTATTATTATTATAAAATTTAAGTTTTTTTACTAACTCATTTTTAATTAATTTTAAATTGCATTAAAATTATTTTTTATCATGCATCAAAAATTATTTTCTAATTTCCTTTAATATATTTAAAAAAATATCTAACCAACATCAAAAAAATCAATTTTCCACTAACATAATTTAAAATTCAAGATTATTTTCAGAAAAGATTATGAAAATATTTTTTAATGGACTGCGAATTTCGTCTAATAACTCCGTCATTCACACATCCAGACTTGGTTCAAGGAGAATTCAAAATATATTCGTAATCCATAAAAAACACCAACTAATTGCGAACTACGAATTGGAACTCTGATTTCTCATAAGAGGATATATATGCATACGACTAATATCGTGGCGAGTTCCCCTAATAAAAACTAAACTCTATGTCCTAAGAAATTGTAATTTTAAACTCTAGTATCCTTGTGAACAAAGTAGATGAGGGGTGCCTAACACCTTCCCTTCGTCTAAGACCGAGTGAAACACTTAGAATCTCTGACCAAATTAGGATTATCCTTTATATTCTCTTTCGTAGGATAAAAATTAAGGGTGATGAGTCTCATTTTAAAACCGGTTACAACAGTTTGAGACTTTGCTGGGGATTAAACCATCGGGTTTAAAAGCCTTTCCTTTTGGTTTTAGGGTTTTTTTTGGGTTTTTCTTATTTTTGGGTTTTTATACTGGTTTATTTATTTAATTATTTATTTATTTTTGCTTATTATATTATTTGTCATCTTTATTCATCTGTTGGCGGGATTTTA